TCTTTTCTTTGCCATTGCGACGTGAATGGGTCTGCAGCTGAGTAGCCCGCCCTTTTCTCCGCACAAGAAAGCTCGGGAACGAAGCTGGAGGAAAGTGATGCCCTAGTGCAGTCCACCGCCCTCCTCCTCCCTGCAGCACGGCCGGCCACACGCGTAATCATAGTACAACGCGCTTGCCTGTGCCGTCTCACTTCTGGTTGTTCTCGACTGCGTGTCCGCTGTAGAACCTTGGTATCCAAGCAACGTGGTAGCTTGAGGAGGCGCCGGCGGAGTCGGAAGACGGTACCCGGGCTACTCTACGGCCCCATTTCCATGCACTTCTGAAAGAGGCAAGCTATTGCAGCTACGGACCCGATCACCTTACACATGCAAGGACTATCCTCGAAGATGTGTGCACAGTGTGTCATTAACATGGAAAGGTCAACCATCTAGGAAAGTACAGCCCGTTGCACCTTCCTGATGCGCCTTAGGATCCGTGGCGAACAAGACTGTACTCATAGGTAGTACCTGGCCCTGTATTCCTTTTAATAATAGCACCGTAAAGTAAAAAAAATTTAGACATACACGGCCAAAAGCCTCTGATCATCCACCGCATACTTAAGGGCGTTGGATTACGGAAGGCGAATCCGAAATAGTTTTCACGTAGAGCACATGTGAGACATTTGTCATTTTGGTTCCCTGCAAGTTATTATAGTTTAAAGTGCGGCATTCGTGAGCCTGAAAGTATGAATATGGTCCTTCTCAACATTGAAGAAAAGCGCGAAACTTCGTTAAAATATAAACTGTAATAGCTAACAAGTTGCGCAGCTGTACAGGAATACCTTTTCCACCAGAAGAAGGGCGCAGAAATGAAATTCAACATCCGCGATAACTGTATATTTTTTGGCTCTGCCCGCCATTCCAAGCAGGAGCAGATCGCAAACGTGCCATACACCACACGATCAGCCCACGCTTGTTCGTGGCTATCCACGATTATTGCCTTGTTTTCTCAGGCTTGACCTCGGCAGTGTGCCAACCGGTTCGTTGCAGAGTCTTGGTCGCGCAGTTTCTGCACCATGCGTTTCAGAACGTAGTATCAGTTGCCGAATTCTTTGTTGGACTCGAATAAGATGAACTTCTCTCCTTTACAAACCGCTAAAGGTGCTGTATTTTAGTGGTTCTTTCCCTGCACACGTTCCTCGTTCTCCACACCGGTCCAAAAATCTTCATTTGCTCGTAATAACTCCGTCATACGGATTACGTCTCTGGTATTTCTCGCGAGTAAGTCGAACAGTAAGAGATCTACATCTCACAGTTGACAAGAATCTTCCATGAACCTGTAGAGCGATAGCTAACAAAACTGAACAGACTTTTCCCTTTGCTTGAGACGCTTTGTACAGAGGATCTCCTCATTCTTATCCTGGCATGGATGACCTATTTTCCTGTGTTCGCCCTACATGTTTCAGAATATCGTACTTGTTTGATTCTCTCCACACCGAAAATACTCGGCTGATAAAGTTAAGCGTGCCATAAGTAATTTGACGATGATGTTGTTTTTCCCCTCATTAGCTTTCTCATACAGCAGTGTGCGCCGTGACTTCACACGCATACTATGCTTACTATGAACACTCTCCAGCTTAGGACGCGAATATAGAGGACGCGAATATAGGAAAAAAAATATGATCATCTTAGGGTTTATTAAATGTATATGGTATTGTGGATACGGATGTCAGAGGCTCAGTCTTGTTTTTCCTATCCCAAATCTTCGCTGAGAAGCAGTTTCTCAAATTATAGAGCTGGATCTGATTACACTGAGCTCGGTAAGAAAGCGCAGGTGTCCGCGCCTCCACCTGGTTTCAACAGTTGTATGAAATTATACTACGCTCTTCAGGATGAATCTTTTAGATTAGGCTAAATCGTCCCCTACACCTTGCAAATGGGCTTTTATTGTGGTTCTTCTCCACTTCATGTTTCTCTACCTTCTATTCTAACTTGTTCTTTATGTTTGAAATGAGTCGACTAGCATTATGGAACGTTGGTACACCACATGTGCTTGCGCATATAATAAATCGAAGTTGAAATTGGCAATATGCACATGCCGCCGAGAAACGCCTAGCTTATCAAATAGTGAACGGAGCATAAAGAAGACCCGGCCATTATAACACTAACATTTTATTTCCGCGCTTATTAGGGAGGTGAAGGTACTCTTTCACAGCTGCGGAATTACTAGCCCTGCA